AATGAGCATAATGTCACTTTAAGGGGGAATAGTCAAGATGTCTACATTTGTACTTAATCAGGCTAAACCAGGCAAATAATGGAAATAAAGCTACCTGACTGCTTCCTAGATAACTTAAAATAACTGTCCCTAGCACAATACAAACTTATTTTGGACTGGAGCAAATGCATCTAACTTATAAACTAGTCATGGGTGTCATTAAAATGCTTGTTTTACAATAGAGCTTTGTAATAATGATCAAGCAGATTTTAATAGTTTTTTTAATCATTTAGCTAAGTAAGCAATTTGACAAAACTTCTAAGCTAAGAAGGAACATTACCTGAACAAGAAATAGCTTTAATAATAATACCCTTGTCTGGCAAATGAACCTTGTTATTATGAACAAGTAATCCAATTTACATATTAATAATTTTACAATTTTAAAATCATTCACCTGAAATGGAAATTTCCAAAAAATTAAAGTTCAAAAGAGACATATATATATAGCTTTCAGACTTTTCTCCTTGTCTAACGACTGCACTTTGTCATGATGAGCAAGTATTCTAAGTTTTATGTTGAGAAGTTTGAATAATGCGCAACATTACACACGGTGATAAAGACAACAACAAAGTTGACAAAGACACCGCCGCAATCATAATCGCTTGAAGTTTAAGCTTATAAAATGTCGAGATATTTTAAAGTAACAAGAGTTGTCTGATGACCGAGTGCTCGACTACTCTCAGTCCTTGGCAGTAAAACGAGAGTCTAGATAATGTGAAAAAGTGTCTTTAAATTCAAAAAGGGCAATAATAATGTTATAGTTAAGGGTCCTATATAGATAGTGACCTCATATTAAGCTCTCAAGTAAGTGTCTGAAAATTCAGCCAGTTCTCTTGTATATTTTTGAAGTTACAAACTTGCACGCAAATTCTTTAAATAAGTGCTTCGCCGACGCCGGGGCGACGAATACAACATTTCTACCTAGTGAATCTAAAAATAAACAGCTAAGCATCATTTTTTCAATAAAGGGAAACGAATAATTTTGTGGAAAATCTTTTGTTCAGAGATATTTCTTTTAAGTTTTAGAATAATGTTTTTTAAAAGCGAGTGTAAATGTTTAACACAATTAATTCCTTGATTAAAGTGATCATAAAATTTGTTCAACATTTGTTTCATATGTAAACCTTAAAAATGAAAACTTTATGAATACAGTATACTTGAACAAAGACTAAAAAATTTTAAAATCTTAATAAGGAATTTTTGGGGGAAAAAAAACAGTTCAAAATTAAAAAATTTTCCCTTTAATGTAAAGAAAAGAAAAAAAAAAATTAATTTTTTTCAACCAACTTAAAAAGAACAAAATTTTTGATACATTTACATATTCTAAAAGTTCAACGAACCGTAAAACAGACATATATAGCAATTTTACTTTTATGTATTCGTTACGCTTATACAAAGCAAATGGCGTTTTACATCCTAATATTTTGATAACTGTAATCATCTTACATATAGTTGATAGATTGATGTTATAATATCATTTGTCACATTTTTACATAAGTTATAAACAATGCAAAGCCCATATCACTTACAGTATACCATCCAAAGTGTATACTGTCGAACTATTTTTTGGCGTCCGTTCTAATTTTATGATTCCACGAATTTGTTAATTACATAAGAGATAATTGTTGCGTTTTGTTCTAAAGGGCATATTTCTCGATTCAAATATTTTTTTTTTAAATTTGTTAAAAGTTACTCCGCAATATAATGACTACATTGTGTGTCTTTACACCGCGTTTATTAAAAAATGTCGATAATTGCTCTTGTTTTACTTATTACGCATAAAATTAAATAATAATTTGTTTATAGGCGCTCGTGAAAATATTGCATCATTCTCATTTCACAGTGTGATATATAGCATATTCCCCCTCGAAGTATATACCAAACAGTGAGATTCTTAGATGATATTTTTTCATTTCATTTTCATGCATTCTTAATCATTTTCAAACATTTGTAATATCGGAACGATTCGGAACAAATCAAAGTCGAATAGCTCAGCTCTTTGACTTACATGTGTTGGTTTGAGTGTAATTTAGATGTACCGTTTCATCCGGAACTTGTTTTATACCAGTAACGCTTTTGCGACTCCTTAAAAGCGGTATTGCACGGCCTTGTATATATTTCGACGTGATCTCATATGCGTTATATCAACATATCATTATGTTAGCGTAATACTTTAGGCGCGTCAATGAAAAATGGTTCATTTTCAATTAAAAAAGGTCTTTATTTTTGGTATGTAATAAAAATGATAATACAATTCGTGTAAGGTCATTACTGAAATTATTGAACTCGTTGAATAAAATAATATTTTGCTCGCCAGGGGCTTGCATGATATAATTTTATTCAACTCGTTCAATAAATTCAGTATTAAACTTACACTCATTCGATATCATCTATATATATCTATAATGATTATAAAGAGGAGTGTACAGTTCATATGAGTAAACTTTAAACAAATGGTGCTAATAGTAAAGCTCCTTCAAAATCAAACAATGTATCATAAAAGGACATTCTTGAACAGCCAATGTATGACAAACAATTGACACATTCCCTCCTTAGTGAGCGTCAAGATCTTTTTCTAGACATCAACGTCAGGTGGCCTACACTCACACACAATCCTATTTTATCGAGGTTAAGGATAAATGTTAGTTGTACTTTATTTTTATTTGACATAACATAATTTTTATTTGTAATAACATAACTATATTTCTATTTGACAAAAGCAAGTAAGTGCTACATTGAGACTTTTTCTTTGTAAAATGTACACATTAAGCTATAAAAATGTGTTATTCTGATACTTTAAACTGTTAATTATATACTTTAATCTGTAAATTTTACACTTCAATCTGTGAAATTTAGATTTTAACGTGTAAACACTTTTACGTTTACACTTTAATCTACCGACAAACAATTTTACAAATAGCTGAAAAAGGGACATAATTCCTAAATATGTTACTTTCAGGATAACGCTCTTTATGTTACCAATGCGCCGTATCATAAAACTCAAATATTCAAAGTTTCACGTTGATACCGATAGTTTTCAGAGTATTCTATTGAATAATCAAGTAAGTCAGTATTTATAGAAGCGGTAGAACTTCATAACTACAACTTTTAGAATTATGCCCCTTGTCTTACAACTGTGCAATGTCATGATAAGCAAGTATTCCTGTTTCATGCTGATCTTAATAGTTTTAAAAATCTTATCCTACGAAATAACCAATTTAAACAAATATTCTAATTGAAAAAGGGACATAACTCCAAAAGTAAAGTTTTCCGTTTCCAATCCGCGCCTTGTCATAATAAGGGCGTTTCGTGCCTTAAAATAATTTGAGGAAGTGACAGCGTTAAAGTTATTGTCTACGACGACATGATATCATAATGGCCAGATTTTTCTCCGAAACAGATAAGCTAAAAATATATACCCTTTACCTCGTTCACCATCATCATATATACCGACCAGACTAGGCATATTTCTCAATGATTAATTATAATTATTTGATTTGAAAACTATATTTTATTATTTTATGTCCAATTATTGTTTTCATAAAGTAACTCATGGGCTATTTACCTGAACAATCTTTTTCTTCTGTTGCCTTTTGACGTTTAGTACAGTAACTGTTGCAGTTATTTAGTATATTAATGGATGTGAAAATACGACTTTCTTGACATTTTGATACTTTCATAATTCCACATTCAGTACTATTTTCATCTGTTGATTAACATATAACATGCTCTTGAACATTATTTAAACGCCATAAAACAATGTTTGCTCTTTCTGGAGAAGCCCAAAAAATTGGATTCTGAGATATAATGTGCGCTTTAGAATAAATACATATCTGAATTTAAAACTGTATGAAGGAAAAAGCAAATATGAATTTGAAAACTGTATAAAGAATGAATAAAGGATTTAAAGCTTATTTGATTGAAAACTAAACTGTACAAAGGATAAATGGTCGAGGTTTTGAAGTGTTAATAATACTCCTCTCAAAGCTTAGAATGTCTCAAGGTTCTGTCCTTTCTGTAGAAAATATAAGTTAACAATTTCATACATTTTCAAACTAATTGCAATTATTTTTTTTTTCAGGGAACAATGTCCAGACTAAAAAGATAAACTTACAGAAGTGTCTTTTTCATGCAGACTACTAAATTGTTAGCGAAAGGATCTTAAAACATCAAAGGGAGATAATGAATGTTATTTTGTGTGATAGTTGATATAAGTATTACCTCCCTCTTAAAAATCAACAAACAAAGTAAAGCAAAGAAAAAAATTGCGCTCAATTGAGCTTTTCCATCAGTTCATTTGACAACTATTTGACACTTGGATCTAAAATTAAACCAATTAAATCAGTTTTGTAACGTAAGTAAAGAAACCACGAATAAATAAAACATTGCAACTGGTCTTCTACTCGTAAATGACATAATAAACCAATTAGAAGACAGGATCTATAATAATTTCTAAACCTAGCTCTATATTTGTACATAATGGCTTCATATTTACACTTTTCAAGTTAACGTCTTCAAACATTATCAACTAATTGCAGTTAAATGCATTCAGGGACTCTAAGAAAAGAAACTTATAAAAAAGGAATTTGCAGAAGGATCTTTTTCATGCAGACTATCAATATGTTCCGGGTCTTTTGAACAATGCAGAGAAAAAGGGAGACAATGAATACGATTTTGTGTGATAGTTTATATAAGTATTACCTCCCTCCTAAATAATCAACTGATCTGTCTCATTTGTCTAGCCAATAAAATCAGTTTTGATACGAGTTTCGCATCATAAGCAAAAATCAACCAGCCAGAGCGTCTTTGGGTTTGAGCTTTAGTCACTTAAGCCTTTCCCCTATTCGGTGAATCCGTGCCTAGTAAAAATCGATAGAAATGTATATTATTTACTGATTTGTTAACTTTTAGAATAACAGGAAGAGGAAGTGAGTTATTCCCATTTGTAATTACATAGGAAAACCACTATCGTTATCGGTACTTTTACCTAACAAAGTACGACCGGGAACCAGACTACCATCTAGCTAGATAGATAGATAAAAGTACACGTTCTTGTTTCTTTTCATGAACCCAACATTGAAAGTAAGGTAATATTTTATTTCATACACTTATTTTTATTGAATATGCTAGCGTAGTGTTTAGTTATTGTGTCTACCATATTGATGTTCTCTTAAAAGTTACACATTTATGTGTTTATTCAGTATATTATTAACCACTGTAAATTAATCAAATCATTTAAACTGATAAGTAAAATCTTTAAACTATTCCGTAACTATAGATTTCAATATTTCATTGGACATAATTCAATCAATTCTTGATTAAAACATCAAAATGAGTTTTTTTTAACAAAAACATTTTGTTTAAATCAAACAGGAAGTATAAATAACAAAAAAAAATATTATGGGAATACAACAGGTTATGCGAGAGTTTACATGCATTTAAAGAAAATCTATACGAATTACTGGAAATCACGTGATAAATTCATCATACATTTATAAGGAAAATAAGGAATTTAGATATCTTTTTCTGAACAACACTAGTTATATCATATAATTATAGTGGCATTTTTAAAAAAGATTGACTAGTTTAATGGTGTTTGATCAATAATTGATAATACCAAAATGTTCAGGATAAAATATAAAAAGCAACATCATGTGTAAAAGACTGACAAATGGCCACTCTTTTGTTAAATTGAACATAACCTCTATTTTCCCTAGACTATTTACAGATAGTAATGTTGTTTACGGAGGCTATTGATTACTTACGTGAATTACTAAATTGAAAAAAATGACAAGATGTAAAGTTATTTTGTCACTCAATGACATCACTAACTTATTATTGTGAAACACTTTGTCATAATTCATATATAATCCAAAATCAAAGACATAAAGAAGGAACATATCGATACAAATATATAAAATAAAGTCATAAATGATATAATTATATTAACATATATTTATTTGCATCTTTTATCAATACACTTCCCAAACTTAATTATGTAACTAAATTATCATAATATCACCCCAAGATCACTTTTCTAGAAAATAGTGGACAAAAATGATAAGTAAAAGTATTTAAAGTGACACTCTGCCCATCTTAAAAGGGTAAGTACTCGGGTAAAAGTCAAAGTGACATTTTATCATAATTGTATTCAATTTCATACTATACAATGTATATGTAATAAATAATCCAAGGATATTTCTATAGATATTATTAAGAATTTATCGGTAACGTTCAAGTTATGAAAGAGCAGGACAGTCTTTTTAAGATTTTGGTAGATTTTATATTTTATCTTTAACATATTACATTTTCTATTACTGGTCAATGACCATAATAATAGGCAATCTCTTGAATGATATCAATGATTCAAGACATTTTTCTCTTTGCATACATTACAGAATGTTTCAAAAACCCGAGGAGAGGGAACATTTATCACTGATGTTATCAGAGGTTTTAGATGACATTTGTATCAATGAAAGAATGGTGAAGAAAAGGAGAAAAGTATTCATGTTGACAGAAACCATGAGTAATATGGCATGGAAGTCAATTGGTGACAATTTTTCTTTATATTGTCTAGGAAGCCAGAGTGAAGGAACAACTACTCCGGGACTACGGTCAGACATTGACAAGGTATATTGTATTAATAAGTATAATATAATGCAAGACTTGTCAGAATGGGAGCGTGGCAAGTTAAACTATCTCATGATACAGGATGTTAACACTTCCCCTGGATATTGTTTCCTACAACTGTTTCGTACACCTCTTCCTATTACAGTTAATCCTAATGAAAAGCATGTAGTTGATAGGAGAGGAAGAATACTACGTAAGAACACACTAGATACCAAAAACGTCAAAGATATCACACGACATGGACCATCACTTGCATTAGAAGGGGGACCAGGATTCATTGATACAGACAGAGTGTTAGCATATCCCTGTAAATCGTGGCCTAAGTCAGCATCAGGTTGGTTAGAGAGACAGGATAAATGCAGATGGCCAACACTAAGGATGGGAACAGCCAGTAGCAGGTGTTTTGTTGTTTCGACTGGAAGTAAGGTCAGTGTAAATCCTGAACTTGAATGGAGAATATCTACATCCCTGGCAGAAAGATGTCTTATGTTTGATTCAAATATAACACAGTTAAGATGCTTCCTCTTGATGAAGATGGTTCTTAAATCCTGTCTAAATCCTCGAGGGGAAATAAACATATCAAGTTTCATGTGCAAAACAGTTCTATTACACACTATAGAAAGCACAGAACCAAGTTTTTGGAAAGAGAGCAATTTAACAGAATGTTTAAGACGCTGTTTCGTGGAATTACACAGTTGTGTACAAAATGACCATTTGTCACATTTCTTTATCCGAGAAAACAATTTGATGGCAGGACAATTTACCTATGAGACAAAACATCAACTTCTGGGAAATATAAGTTATTTTATACAAAATGATGTACAATGTTTACTCACAATCAATATTGATAATCTTGGACTAAGACTTCAAGTTAAACTGAACTCAGTACCAGAAGGAGAATACAGTTTGCATTCTTCTCTGGAAATGAGTGAGCATCTTTCTGCCGACCTTTACCTCAACATTGCACGTGACGTACGTTTAACTCATAAACAAATGTTAAAAGATTTACATGATAAAGACACAAGAACATTGAGGCAATCTGTAGAAACACTTTTGACCTACAGAGACAGTGGCAATAAATTAGAAAAGAATGCATACAAGTTTCTCGCACCTTTTCTTTTGAGCACATATGGATCTGCTCTGGCCTCAGAAGATATATGTTTGAATAATCAAATGTCACCTCAAGCATTTGTATGGCTTTCCAGTGGTTTAGATTCAGATGTCACATTTGGCAGATTGAAATTGGCTTCAGCATTCTACAGTGAAGGAGATATGGAAAGAACTGAGCTAATCCTGAGACACACTGAAAGACAATACAACTCTTGTCCTCTTTTTTATATCGGCTTTTCAAAGTTTCAAGAACCACCAACAGTGGAGTTTGAAAAAGTATGCAATGAGCAAGGTTTGGACTGTGTTAAACAAATGACAGCAGATTGTGTCATATTCACACAGCAGGAGGTCAAATGTATTCCTCAAGAGCTACAATATGAATTGTTCAGATCTAACAGGAGACATCGTTGTTACACAGAGAAGAAAGAGAGGATTAAGGATGGGTGTAGTTGATTCTCTACCATTCAATCTACTTCCTACTATATTAAGATCTACAGGCGTCTTCAAAGATATAAAGAAAAACAACATGCACTATGTAGACTTATAAGAACCATAGAAGAAGATAAAGATATTGCACATAAAGAAACAGCTCTAAATATTTTAGGACAATGCCTGGAACAAGAACACAGACCAAAACAGGCATTAAAATGTTACCTGCTTTCTCTCCGTCAAAGGCCAAGAAACAATGTGGCAAACGTCCATATATGTCGTCTTCTCTCTGGAATGCTGGTTGGCAAGTAAAATAAACAAAACCCTTAGATAGCATGTGGGCTTAAGTTTAAAAAACATTATGTACTAATTGTCGGATTTTCAGTTTCTTCCCATTATTCAAGAAGCAATAACCACTACATGATGTAAGAGTTGAGGTCTATGGTATCACTCTTTGCAAAATGCATCACATTTCTGCATGTTATGTACAGGTGCCAGGCGATGGTATCATTCCTTTGAAAAAGGAATAAACACTGGATGTTTAACAGTTATAATCTATGGTATGATTCTGTGCAAGAAACAACATCGCCTTGCCTTAATGATCTTTATTCACATTTTTAAAAAATGGTTTGAATACAATGATTGAACAAGTAATAGTCGTATTATTCCGAAAAAGCAGCAATACGTAGTTAATGGTTTTATTTTGTGCAAGAGGCTATGACCACTGCATGCTATACTTAATTATTATTCTATAATACAAGTAGTAGTCAACAATACATTTTATACAAAGATAGTAGTCTAAAGTATCATTCAGTGCGACACTGTATGATGTACACATAAAGTTGTCCATATTATCATTTTAGTGATGTTGTAAACAGGTAAACATACATGTAGTATAAAGTATCATCTTGTTCAGGTAGCAATAAACACTACCTGTTATATAAAATAGTTAGAAGTAGTCACAGATACTTGTATTATACTTCAAGCGCTGAATCTTTACATTGAAATTGTCAAAAATTGTTAAATTAATTTTAAAGTTTTATTGATTTCATCAAAACAAGTAATAAAGAGAAGACTATGATTAAACTTTAGGTGATATGGAAGAGATTGACGAGTACTATACTCTCTTTGTGCAAACCATAAATATATGAACAATAAATACATGGACTTATTAATGCGTAACTTACATGAGGTAGTTGATATCTTTTTGTTAGACATGAATGTAAAAGTCTCGTTTAAAAACATCATGTTTCTTTTTACACTGAACTCTTGATTCTACTAAATTATATCCATATATATAACACTGTACTCTTTAATTGAGACAATAAATTCATTTAAAGAATTTTAAACTTTTGACAACATACATTAACATTGTTCTGCAATGAATGCAATTTGGTACAATTCTTAGTTACTTTACTACTGTCAACTATATGAGTCAATATCTAAAACATGTGTGAAGACTCTTTTACAAATCCACGGACACTTCCCACACCCAAATTCGAATCACGAATGGTGACCATGTTTATTTCAGTTGCAATTTCATTTTTCTTTAAGGCAAAGCTATTTCAGTGGCATATTTATACCGAAATGATTTATATCTATTTCAGACATTAAGTTCCGGTTGGAACATCGTCTGCTGGTGAATGACACAGACAAAATATCGTAAAATATCCATAGTTGATAAAGTGTTGTTGTTCTCCTTTTTATACGACCGTTTGAAAAACTGGACGTATTATGGGAACGCCCCTGGCGGGCGGGCGGTCGGGCGGGCGGGCGGGCGGGCGGGCGGCGTCCAATTTTGTCCGGAGCATATCTCCTACATGTATTGAGGGATTTTAATGAACTTCATATAAATGTTCACCACTATGAGGAGCAGTGTCGCGCACATAAACCAGATCTCTAGGTCAAGGTCAAGGTCACACTTAGAGCTCATTGAAAAATGCTTGTCCGGGCAAACTTCCACATGTATAGAGGGATTTCAATTATTACTTGGCACAAATGTTCACCATTGTGAGGCGGAGTGTCGCGTGCAAGATTCAGGTCCTTGCGGCCAAGGTCAAGGTCACACATAGAGGTCAAAGTTCAGATAAAAATATGAAGATGTGTATATGGACCATTTAGTCATCATTTATTGAGGGATTGTAAACACAAATGGTCATTATCAAGACTATGGCTGTGATACATATAATTTAGGTCAATATATACAAGGTCAAGGTCACTAAAGATGATTAAATATCCAGATTTTGTAAATAGAATTTAATCAAAGGGAGACAACAAAGTTATTACTTTGTTCATAAATGACTTACACAATTACACCCCTTGATCTATTTTCACTTTCAATTCTAAAAATAGAATTTAATCAAAGGGCATGAAATAATCCTCTTTCTTGGACTTGAGTATGTTCTAAAGAATGTAACATTTATTTACACATGTTTCATTCATTGGTCAAGATTCTTAACTGTGATAACTATGGTGTTCTGTAGACTTGGTATTTGTTTCATAAAGATCATACAGTAATTACCTTATCAAATGTAAATACTTTCTCATAGAAATTTAATTTATTTTTTAATTTTCAAGTAAATATCAGTTCAGCTCATTCAAAGATTAAGAATTGTAATGAAATGTATTTCCCTAGAATAAAATCTTTAATCAGAATTTTTTTAGTTATTAAATTACATGTACTTTTTATACGCCCCCCGTTTAAAAAAGATAAAAATATGAAGATGTGTATAGGGACGATTTAATCATCATTTATTGAGGGATTGTAACACAAATGGTCATTATAATGACTACGGCTGTGACACATGTACTTTAGGTCAATATATGCAAGGTCAAGGTCACTAAAGATGGTGAAATATCCAGATTTTGTCTGAGCATATCTCCTACATGTATGGAAGAATTTTTATAATACTTTATGGAAATGTTCACCACCATGATATGTATTGCTCCATGCATGATCCAGGTCAAAGGTCAAGGTCACACTTAGAGCTCATTTGAAAAACGCTTGTCCGGAGCAAAAACTTCTACATTCATAGGGGGTTTTCAATATAACTTGGCACAAATGTTCACCATTGTGAGGCTGAGTGTCGCATGCAAAATTCAGATCCCTGCGGGACCCAAAGTCAAGGTTACACAAAGAGGTCAAAGTTCAGATAAAAATTTGAAGATGGTTACAGGGACCATTTAGTCATCATTTATTGATGGATTGTAGCACAAATGGTAACTATCATGACTACAGGTGTTACACATTTAATTTAGGTTAATATTTTGCAAGGTCAAGGTCACTGGAGATGATTAAATATCCAGATGTTATCCGGAGCATATTTTCTACATGCATGGAGGAATTTTAATGTTACTTTTATAGAATTGTTCACCACCATGAGACGTAGTGCCCTGCACATAAACCAAGTCTCTAAGTCAAAGGTGAAGGTCACAGTTAGAGCTCATAGAAAAACACTTGTCTGGAGCAAAACTTCTACATGCATAGAGGGATTTCAATATAATTTGGCACAAATGTTCATCATTGTAAGGCTTAGTGCCGTGCATAAAATTCAGGTCCCTGCGACCAAGGTCAAGGTCACACATTCTGTGCATATCTTCCCTATTTATTTATTTTAAGGTTCATTTAACAACACAGTGCCAAGAATAAAAACTTGCTTGCTAGATAACACTTATCCATAATGCCCCCATCTCCATCTAAAGCTTTTTCGTAAACGGGCGTATTTTGTGACTATGGCACCCTTGTTTAATTTGTAAAAACATAGTATTTAAAGCTATTGTGTTTCCGCGAGATAGATAGCAGATCAGTGATAATACCATTCTTTGTAAACTACTGTAATTTTACTCTAATTGTGTCTATGATAGGAATTCAAGTCAATCAATATTTCATTTCCATACATTATTTATCACAGTTCACATATACACATGTAGAAATATTGCACGTTTTAATGAATTAAACAACATATATCGGATTAAATCGTGAAGTTACGAAGCTGATATTGTGAATTCATGAAGTTGTAATCGTAAATTAGTGCAATGTAAATCGGGAATTCATTTAATTTAAATAACACCACACGTATTTTGTACAAATATCATCTAAGCAGTAAAAAAGTTATGAGCTTTTAAAACGATACTTGTTTCAACTGGTTAAAGCTACATGCCTCCAGAAGAGTCAAAATATTTCAATAAAATTAAAATGTTCGTGAAGTTAGCCAGACAGCCGGAATTCACGCACATAAAATATAACTTGAGAAAAATGAACCTAGATATAAGGAAAAGTAAATCATTTCAAGATGCAAGTAATATTTTTCATATTATACGCGATTAATGACTGATATTACAATATCTACAACTATATCTCTACTGTGTTACTAACGCAGTAAATGCTATTTATGCATATTTTGACCACTTTATGGTAATTTACGTGGTTTGTCAGTACCATTGATAATGTGTAAATTGCTTCCTTTGGTAACTTTAAAAAATTACACACTCAAATACATTTTAAAAAATTTCATGAAAATTAGGATGAATCTGGAGGCGTGCTGCTTTTAACACAATTATACAACGTTCCAGAATAGACGAGATATGTGATGTGTTTCAATGCCAAATCTAATATGTATAATATTTTATGCACATGTATATTTATTAATGAAATGTACTGAATAACAATAAATAAACAACGCTTAATCTCATTTGAATTTATTCAAATTTATACACATTCTAAAGTACAAATGTAGATAATAACTCATTTAACAACATGTTCAATATAATTACACGATTTAGAACATCAAACATTGCCCAGTTGTAACTTATTGTCCTATATATACCTGTTTGTTAAGTTTAGGTTGTTGTAGTTCCCTCTCTATGTGGAGTCTCAACTATCACCCAAACTGCTGGTTCTGTTATAAAAAATATAAATATTATAGATGGAAGCAAGTAGCAGTTTACCGAATCTGAAAGAACACAAACACCAAAGCCAAGGCCGTTACAAAATCCTTTTCTCGAAATAAACAAGCTGAAAAACT